GAATAGATGGATTGTAATATTTTAGATTTGAATGATTATGAGAATAAGAGTAATAAGGAAAAATAATAGTGATAGAAGTATTTGAGTTAATTGGATTAATGAAATTTGCTATTGGAAATACTGATATGTTTGAAATAATAATCCGAGCGAGAATAATAGGAAGACATGACGTAAAAGTTATAAGAGCTGTATTTTCGCATTGATAAAAAAAACAATCGACAGTTTATCAACTAATAAATTAATACGATAAATAAAATAAATAAATCCCTCCTACACGAATACCATTAATTATAATTCGTGTTAAATCATTAATAGTCACATCTCTGTCAAGTTTTTTCGAGTCATTTCACTCATGTTAATTACAAGATATTTTTCGTTCATTTCGCTCCGTAACAAGGTTCCTCAATAACAATATAACCAAGACTAAATAGTATCACATTAGGTATTTACTGTGATCCTATCTATTGCATAGCTATTCCTCCGTTTAGGGCAATTAGGACTTATAGTATTTTTGATAGGATGGTTGTTATTTGTGTGGCTCTTGCTCCTGCTCACGTTAGTCCTGTAACTATACCATTTTACAACGTACGTAAGTAAATAAATGTATTATTGCTGAGTTGAACCTAGCTCCCACATAACTATTACAATTTTTACTAATCTTATTGATACAAATTTTGAAGATCACATTCGAAAATATCACCAAAATGTTAAAATCCGTTCATATGTTGATATATTTTTTACAATCGTTTCGTTGCAGTTAATCGATTAATTCTTTGATAGTTGCAACTGATAGATTATCAATTAGTTGATTAGTTGGCATCTAAAAAGTTCAATTAGTTGTTAATTAATTTACCACATCAAACTGAAGCAAGATCATGTAGGCGGCTTCACCGCCCATCATGTATTAAAGATAGTAGATTTGTTTGTTTTTTATTTCGGAAAGAAAACTTTCTTAAGAATCTTTGTCATTAGACATTTCGTCTTAAACTTAATGCACCAACTTTGACCTGGAGGGGCCAAGGTTGGTGCATTAAATTTAAAGCCTTTATTTATTATCTGAAACGACCACTATAGCTGGGTGTTATACGTCCAATAATTATAAATACTGATATGGATTTATTGGTAACGGTAAATGAACATATTGCAAATTTTCAGAATGTGGCGATGCTGCTGTATCTAGGGATGACAAATGACTTAAAACTGAATGTTTTAAACCAGTTTTATATTGCTTTAAAATAATTTTTTTTACATGTTTTAAAACTTCGTCATTGATATTGATATTATATGATTCATAATAATGGTATGGTTATGATCACGATTATAAATTCGAATCTTCTGATTTTTTGACCTTTGTAACAAAAACTTATAGCAACAGGAAACGTTGATGTTACACGATTGATTTTACACACAGTGTGAAACACATGAAAAAATTATTTTACAATACTTGAACAATCTTGATCAGTCAGCTAGTGGATGTTATGATTATAATCCAACACCATTTTTATTATAATAATAATGGTGTTGGATTATAATCATAACATCCACTAGCTGACTGATCAAGATTGTTCAAGTATTGTAAAATAATTTTTTCATGTGTTTCACACTGTGTGTAAAATCAATCGTGTAACATCAACGTTTCCTCCTGTTACTGATAGTATATTTCGATTAAAATTCATCAACGTCATAATAAACAATTTTTTAAACCATTTTACTAATCAAGTTAATATATATATATTCGTTAAAAAGCGATTTTTTTACTGCGATTTTTTACTATCCCTGGCTGTACCGATAGAATGACAAAAAATCACATAAATTTCGTGTTGATCAGTGTGCTGAGGGGCTGAGTTCACGATACTTTCGCTGTAGTTCTTTCGCTATGATCGGCAAAAAATCAGAAGAAAAAAAAAAGTGAATATTAAAAAAAAAACCACTCGGAAAATAGAAGCATAAAATTAGACGGAATTGACATATATATGTTGTAAGTAGGAACGGAATGAAGTGGATTTGGAATTTCCTAGTTAAATTGGGATTAGAGTAAGGGTGTTCATATGATAAAATCAACCCCAAATGCTGGTTTTATATAAAAATTCCGAATCCACTTAGATTCCGTTCCAACTTACAGCATATATAAGTTTTAAAAGGTTACCTTAATTTTTTTTTTATAAAAAATGTTCTTTTTAAGGGTTTAAAAGAAAATTTTTCATGTCGATACAATCACACCACATGCAGAAACGATACGTTACACGGCCATATATAGCAAAGATGATCATGCCAAAAATTTTAAGGGGTTGATAATAACGATAATAAATACAGGAGGGACTTTTAATATTACACATATATTAAAACGGGTAGTGATTTAAACCGGCTACGACAGTCACGGCTAAGCCGGCTTAGTATTTGTCAGCGGTTAGCCAGCCGATTAGTCGATATTTTAGTCGGCTGGCTTAGCCAGCCGACTAAAACCCTGTGGTTTAATTCACCAAAAACGGGTGAGGAATTATATCTATCATAGACTATAAAGTTGAGTTCAACATAAATAATTCTATTTTAATTGATCATAACGTGTTTGGGAACCCAATTAAGAAACAAGTAAATTTTAAATATATATAATAAGTAGTACCAATTCATAAGAAAATTTTTCAATTATTATTAGCTTTGCAATGAATTCGATTGTGACTCTTAACGTTGGTGGTGTACACTATGTTACTACAAAAGACACACTTTTGAAACATAAAGGTTTCTTCTCAGGTCTCTTCAGTGATAATTTTTCAATTACTCTTGACTGTAACAATAACACTTTCGTTGATCGAAATGGAGAGTTATTTAAATATGTACTTGAATTTTTAAGAAACAATGCTTTACCAAAAAGATCTCTTTCCAATAAAGCATTGCTCGAGGAGTTATTGCAAGAAGCTGAATTTTATTGTATTGAAGATCTTATCACTGAAATAAATTCTATATTAAATACCGTACAAAATAATGAACAAGGTGATGTTAAGATAAGAATTGGTGAACTCGGAGATTACTTGAAAAAAGGTTTTCATGTAATTGGAAAAGGAATGGAACTCATCCGTTATCATATATGTCCTCATAGACATGATCCTCCACGAATTGGGATTAATGAATATTTTGATTCTGAGTGCAGGCATTCTCATGTTAAATTAGTAGAGGACTGTGTACCCTTTTTGGTAGTGTCAACCAGTTTACCTGTAGGTCCCATATTTGATTTATCTTCGGGGATAAAAATGGAAGAACAAAAAGTCATTTCTTGTCTTTGATAATTATTTGTAACCAGAATATGTATCTTGTACAATTTTAAAATTTATTGTTTCAAATAATATAACTTTTTTTAAAATTGTATTGTTTTTTAAAATGTAAAATTTATGATCTACAATGTTAATAAGGTATATTTAAATTAGAAACATAATCGAATATAAGGCCTTATTGCGTAAATTCTGACAAGTTGATTAGTTGATAAATAAAAAATTATTTATCTATTATATCATTATTTTAAAAATTTTACAAAATACATCGTACTCCTATACAGTGTAACCGTTGAATAGAAGAGCTAGATAAACTATATATTCAATAGATAGCAGGGTTGAACAATGATATAATATGACTTATATGACTTATATGAATTGTCATATCACAATATAATATATAATAACAATATAACATGATTTTTTAATTCAAATGATCAAAGTGTTCAAGACAATTATAAAAGTCATTATAAAAATGGTTAAAATCATGATAATGATCAAAGTGATCAAGAACGGACATTATTTAATGACAAAAAAAAAACCAAATTAAAAAGTGTAATGAAATCAAACTCTTCCTAAATGCGTGTCCTACCATGGTTCCAAATATATAGAAAAATAGTAAAAATTCTTTTTATAAATGCACACCCTTTTTAAACGAACATTTTTAAAAAAATTTTCTATAGTCCTAAGAGGGATGCAATTATAGAGGTCTAACTGTAAAAATCTTTTATATAAGAGGTTATAAATAGTCACATGTATATTTTTGATGCCTAATTTAAGTAGTTCACTTATCAGTAATATGAATAAATTTATATATATTGTCAATTTGAAAATTACCTTTTCTAAAGTTTTTAGTAATTGCTAATCATAATATGAGGACTATAATTTTATAATTTTAATATAGTATTTAAAAGAAGACTTAATAAAGAAATTTTTATAATAATTTGATTTTAAGATAGAGGCAACAATAGATAGTATATAAAGATACTAAATATTACATTTATTTATTTTATTTAAAGTGTATAAAAATACTTAATTTTCTTAGAGCACAAGAAAGTAGTATTTTTATAGATAATTTATATATATAAATAATTATAATAAAGAATATTTTATTGTTAATAAATACTATATATAGTAATGTTAATATATATGAGATATAAAAAATTTAATAAATATGTTATATATGTTATAAATGTTATATATTATTAGAGGGGTTTTAGTATATAGTATACAATGATCAAGTTAAATGCGATGGTTTATTGTTCAAAAAAACCCAACATTATGAAACATTGCATCATGAAAGAGACAAAATGATTTAACAAGTTTAAGGCATAAATACAAGGACTTAGTTTATTACTATTTTAGTATTTACTATTATTTTATAATTATTACTAATATTAACTATTTTCTTTTTATGAATTCAACAAATCAAATCCTATTCCTTTTAAAGTTTTAGTTGAAACTCTTAAAGGCTTGTTATCTAAATTTACAACAATATTTTTTATTCAACTGGACTATCTATATATCTTTTGATCACATTATTCCATTCTATCATACTTAGCAAATAATAAAAAAAAAGTTGTTATCAATATGGCACGCTTACATTTATATTTAAACCACACCTACAAAACCATTAACTTCGAAAAATTTATAAAAAAACTTGATATCAAACCTCTACGCTTTACTTTAAATTTTGATATTGATTATGATGCAGACAAGTTACTATTTGATATTCAAAATAACAACAGATTCAACATTAAAGTTAAATTAAATATTTCTGCAAAAAAATTTGAAGATGACTTCAAAATTTCTTTTCTCAAACCTCATACCAAAACTTACGAAACCTCATTTCAAAAATTTTTTGAAAAGTACAAAATTCAATTTGAAAAAATTGACTAACAAAAAACAAGCAACTATATTAAAATATTAATTTCTCAAAAGCTTATTGAAGACTGCAAAGAACTTTTACCAGAAACCTACTCTCTTTCAAGTACTTTATCTACACTTCAAGAATGATCTAAAGCTACTTTTAAAGCAGCACTTAATCATTTTCATAAATGCAACAAAAAATCCTGAAACTTATTATCAGAAAAAACTAAACATTGTCTTGAAAGTATTTTCAACTACTATTTTTCATAATCATTCAAATTACATCCGGTGTTAGAATCTAACACAAAAGAATAGGACCATCCTCCATTAGAAACCAAATTATTTCAATCAGAACAACAATTAGCAACAACTTTCTCAAAACCAACATCTATAGCTGAACTAAGAAAATTAGCCATATCAACTGAAAAAAACTTTGCATCACTTAATAATGTAACCAGTGAAATTGCTCAAACTACTTACTATTTTTACTAATACTTAAAAAAATACTTACAAACAGCAGCAGAAAATGATGATATTCAAGAGTTATTTAAAGAGAAAACCCTTGAAAAAATCATAGTTGCTAACACTGATATATACACATTAGCTTGTATAATTAACTATTATGAAATTCGATCTCAATTTAAAATATCTCTCAAACAAATTAAAATTGATTATGATAAAATATACTACCCAAAGCTGAAAATTTCCAAATTAAACACTTCAATATCTCTATTTCTACACAATACAATGACATGCTCTTTATGCAAAAATCAAATAATTCTGAAGAAAAAGATAAAGAAAACTCAAACATATCTATTTCTAAAAATATCGATTTTGATAACTCTACATCTCAAAATGAATCTTTTAAAAACTCCAATTTACAAAAAGAAACTCCTTATTAATAAGTTCTTCTACAGATAAAATTAAAGCAACTGCCACCTCTAAGATTACGATGTCCTCCACTCTTAGTGGGACATTCTTAGAGGAGAATGATGACAGTAGGTGGGCAGTAAAGCCTATTGTAGTGAAGGATCAGGTATATGACAGCCAGACTCAATGTAAAGAACAGGCTATGGTATTCTCCACAGCTGTGCAAGCCGAGCTTAAAATAGTGAGCGACTCTGTAGAAGACATCACAAATACTATCTCTACTTCTAATGCTCCAACTTCTACAGAGATAGACAATTGTTACAAGAAATTTTTAAAATATTACAAACTACCTCAAATACAGGAACCTGTTACACTTATCAAATTCATTCAACATCTACACCAAAATTCTTTTTTC